ATATTTTTCTTAATTAAATTTATTATTGTAATTAATTTTACAATTTCAAAAACTAATAATTAATATGTAACAAATAATTTGATTTGTTTATAGAAATAATGAAATAAAATATTTATATTTAGAATTGAAATTCAATTTTACCTTATCCCACATCGAATGTCAATAGAAAACTAGAAGGGAGTCTCTCTTTTAAAAAAGAACATCATGATAGTAGAAGTCACTATTGGGCTTGCTAGGAAAAATAGGCGAGCCTTAAGTTAGTTCAAATTTTTTTCCCTAATTTCTATTAAATTCGGATCGGATTATCAGAATGGATATCCGATAACATTGTAAATCGGATATGAATTTAACAATTAAATATCCGTTGGATTATCGGATCGAATCGGACCTGATAAATTTTCTTAACGGATCGGATCGGATATAGGCAGATCTGATCCATATCCGATCCATTTACAGCCCTAATAGCTACTATCTATTAAATGCTTATGAAAAATAAAAGGGGGCAAATGAGTGCCCAGCGTGGCAAAAAATCCATGATGGTGCACGGCACGTAAGGGTCGACCTACCACGTTGCTATCCCTTAGGTAATAAATTTTCACATTGACTATCACTACCGCAAAACCGATATGTTGGTGACCACTCTGCTAAAATGATGGATTGGGACCACACCACTAGTAGGTTTGGAAACAAGGAATACAAATTGGGTAGGAGTGAAGCAGCAATGCCTCACTATATAATGAGTTGAAGAATTGAGTATTTGTAACTTGAAGTGTATATCAAAGAGATGGGGCTTACTGGTAAGTTGATTGCCCATATAGNACTGGTAAGTTGATTGCCCATATAGAGTTCAAGCATGGAGGAGATGTATTTCATGAACTCGTTAAACACAAACCACACCACATATCCAACAAAATACCTCATTTAGTACATGGCTGTGATCTCCATGAAGGGGAATTTGGAAAGGTTGGCTCAAAAATCTACTGGACATACACTCATGGTATGTATATTCATCATATATGTCTGAACCTAATTCATTTTTCTTTTTATGAATTTTCATGTCATAGTAAATTTTTGATTAACCCAATTTTATCGTCCCATGCAATTCATTTATACAAACCTTATTTTTTTATGTCAACCATTCAGAATACATATTTAACTCTATCTAAAAGTAATTTAGTTAATTATCGGTGTGCAGATAAAGTTAGTTTGTGAGACCGACAATTAATAGAACGGCCCTAGACTTTGTTATGTTTATCATTAAATTTATCAAAAGATCAAAAGTAATTAGATCCTTAACAACTACACTACGACGTGTTTGTCTTAGTTGATCCCTCTTTCTTCTGATTTGGTTTTCGAAGGTCGTGTCACTCTTAGAAAGATCATTTTTCTATATTAACCCTAGCTCTATCAATTACGAGTTTACAATTGATGAAATTAATTTGTGCGAATGACAGATGGAAAGGTAAAGAAAGCAAAACAGTTGATTGAAGCCATAGAGGAGGAAAAAAAATTAATCAAATTGAGGGTGCTTGAAGGAGATTTGATGGAGGAGTACAAGGACTTCACTGTAACTATTCATGCTGAAACCAAAGGTAACATAGACATGATCTCATGGACTTTGGAGTATGAGATGCTGAATGAAGATGTTTCACATCCAATTTCTTTTCTGGCTTACNTCTGTAACTATTCATGCTGAAACCAAAGGTAACATAGACATGATCTCTTGGACTTTGGAGTATGAGATGCGGAATGAAGATGTTTCACATCCTATTTCTTTTCTGGCTTACTTCATTGAAATCACTAAAGAAATTGAGGCTAATCATGATATATAAGCTCTTCTATTGTGTACAATAAAATGTGTGCGTGTTTGCACACTTGTGGTTGTGCCTGCAGTGTGTAATAAGTGTTGTTTTTAAAGGTTTGTGATATAGCTAATTATGTATTGGTCTATCCGTAAGAAGATATTGGACAATGTCTGTCTTTTTCAATACTTCTAGTCGACATGCATGCACTATGCATTTTAATTTTAAATTAATAACTCATGTTTTTGAGATAATAGTTGACATAGCCTCAATATAGCTCATATTTCATATATTTGGGATGTAAAATTGCGTTGTTGAATTTTTATTTTTAACTAATCTAGTTTGAGATGTTGAGAACAAAACTTAGATACTTCATGTCTCTACACAATCTGGAATTTTAAATAAGATCTACCAAATTTAATAATAATTTAAGTGAATGTTGAAAGTTAGGATCTAAATATGAGTGAGAAGAATTTATTTTTAAATAATCCAGTTTGAGATGTTGAGAAGAAAACTTAGATAATTCATGTCCTTCCAAATTTAATAATAATGTAAGTGAATGTTGAAAGTTAGGGTTTAAATAAAAGTGAGTGTAAAATCAAGATCGATCAACAAATTTACGTGTACTAGTCAACTTTGAACGTCCATTGCATGCTATTATGAAATGTTTATAAGTGTTGCAAAAGTAATATTTGAATATGTGTGAATGTTAATTAATTGAAAATTAATACAAATGAATATATACGTAACAATGAATGTTAAATCATATATTTAATTTTCAATTAAGTAAAATTGGATGTTAATTAGTATGCATGAACATGATTAATGAAATACATTCTAGAATATGAAATTCTAATTAACTTATAATTAATAATACTGAAATGCAAAAATGATTATGAATATTAATTAAATGAATGTGGATGTGAATGTTAATTAATTAAGAATTCATACATTAATGAAAACGCATAGGCAAAATGAATATGTTAAATGTACATGTACATTGATGGTAATTAAATGGTTAAATAAATTAAATATATATTGAAAAAGGAAAAATAAGATATTATTGAAATAATTAAATTATAGTATGGCTAGAATCGACCAAAAAATGATTCTCACTTGATATGATATTTAATATATTATAGATGTATTATATTGAAGTTTTTTAGAATTAATTTTTGGAAAAATTGCAAACATGGTACCAAACATTTCAACTTTTTGCAGACTTTGTCCAAACTTTTGTTTTGTTCCACCCACGATACCAAACCTTTCAACAATTCGCATCCGGAGTCCAAATGGATGGTTTCCGTCCAGTTGACTACAAAAATCGTTAGTTGACCTCAGAAATTTTAAAAAAAATGATAATTTCCCCTAAATATGCAAGGACAATTTCGGAATTACACACAATTTCCACCAAATAAGTTTAACAAAATGAAATAAAAATCCCAAAAATAATTTAAAAAAATAACAATTGTNCCACCAAATAAGTAAAAAAAAAAAATTGAATTAAAAATCCCAAAAATAATTTTAAAAAAACAATTGTTCATCTCCTTCCCCACCCTATCCATCTCCTCCACCCACCCACCCACCCACCACAAGAAAAATCAACCACCATCCAGCCCCGCCTCCCACCACCAACGCCGCCTCCTCCCACCATCGTCGCCTTGATAACTATACCTTCTTTGAAATGTTCATTCCTCCTTCATTTTGTAAATGCGAGCAAGTTTCTTGGTTCCCCCCACGCCGTATCTGTCTCAAGATATTGTGAAGTTTCAATTTTTAATTCATTTTCAACTAACGGTTTTCGTGGTCATCCGGGTGTGAATTGCTTAAATGTTTGGTATTGTGGATGGTACAAAACAAAAGTTTGGACAAAGTCTACGAAAAGTTGAAATGTTTGGTACCGTGGCTGCAATTTTTCCTTAATTTTTAACCTCTCATTAAAAAATGTGAGAATAATTAGTTTCTTAAATTCAACATACATGGTGAAGAAATGCACCTATACCTTGCTTCCTTTTTAACATTTATTTTGAACTTTCGTCTTCGTTTTCTTTAAAACTGAATTGTTTGGCCCTGNNTTTAAAACTGAATTGTTTGGCCCTGTATATAATTTCGTACATGGTTTTAAATTGTGAATTTACCCATCGTTTAAATTTTGTGATATATATGTCAAGGGCGAATTCAGAAATTTCGGACGCACGGAGCTAAAATTTAAAAGTCAATATAAATTCATTAAGGCAAGACAACATAAACAGTTCATTATGCTGAAAAGGCAACAACAACAATTCATTAAAATGACAAGGCAACTCATTAAGCTGACAAGACAACAATTAACTAATTTGCCAACAAGGCAACATTTAATTTCAATATTTTGTCGACGAGACAACAAGTAGTGACATGAGGACACTTACTAGGGGAGTATATTCAATCTTTACTTGTATATCTACACCTGGAATTTGAAAACGAATTGGAAATAACAAGTTAATAGTGAAAAAATAAAATCTAAAATTTCTAAATCTAAGTAGGCTGTAGGCCTTTAAATTTTTCTTCTTCAAGTTTGCATTTAAAATCTGATAATCTATTTTTCCGTCTTCAACTTGTAAGAGGGGATAGCGGAGGGATGGGAGAGCGAGGGTGGGTGCCGATTGTTTGGTGGGGTGGGTGTGGGTAGATTAATTTAATTTGATAATATTATTTTTTAAAATTAAAACAGAATTAATATCTAAGTTTTGCATTTTTAAACTTAATGTTTGAAAATTGATTTGGTGCATACTTAATACCCAACTTATGTATTTTTCCCTTAGAATTTGGATTTGGGCCCATAAATTGAAGGGATAATTGCAGCAGCGGTCCTAAATCTTTGAGTTTTTTTGCAGACTTTACTTTAACCTTCTCTTTGTGTCATCCACAGTCTCAAACCTTTCATAAATTTGCACCTAAGGTCCAAACCATCCATTTGACCGTTAGTTGACCCAAAAACTTGACTTTCACTAAATTTTGACCATTTTTTAAGGGTAAAATGGTAACTTTACATTTTACACATAAAAAATGAAAAAACATGTAAACTAAAAAAAAATCAGAAAAAATGAAAAAAACATGTAAAACTCACCACCTTCCCCACCTACCCCACCTCTACCCTACCCCTCAACTCGATCCCTAGTCAAAACCAGAAAACCACACTGTCGCCGCCACCCACCACCACAACAACTCTCCTCAGCCACCATCGCCACCACAACTCCCCTTACCCAAACTAAGCATCCACCCTAATTTACCTAACCACATGGAGGGGACTTTAATAGACCCGATTGTTGTCAGTAATTCAACGTGAGTACGGGTAAATTGCAATAAGTTTTTTGCATTGTCAAAAGCTTTCAATTTTTACACAACAATTGCAAAAAATGAAGTAGTTTCACCTGTTCTATCATTATTTTTTTTATATTGAATCTTGAACTTTCTGCCATTTTTGCTACGAATTCGTGGTGTCTAATGCTAGCCAAAGCTACTGTCGTTTTACTCAAAGTTTGGCTGCCATTTTGTTTAGAGTTATTGTCGTTTTGCTGTGGCTATTTTTCTTGGGGCGTGGAGGGTGTGGAGATGAGTAATGAATGAGCGAGTTTCTGTTTTTGAGGAGAAAATAATAGTGCAGCAAGTGTGCTTTCAACATTTGTGAATGACGAGATGGATGCGGTGGTAACAGTGTAGGTTGGTGGCTGAGGTGAGTTGTTGTGGTGGTGGACGGTGGCAGTATGGTTTTCTGGTTTTGATTGGGGGTGGGGTGAGGTGGGGTGGGGGGTGGGGTATGTTTTTTCGTTTTTTGATTTTTTTAGTTTAATGTTTTAACTTATTTTATGTGTAAAATGCAAAGTTACAATTTTACCCTTTAAAAAATTGTCTAAATTTGGTCAAAGCCAAGTTTCTTGGTCAACTAACAGTCTTCCATCCATTTGGACCTCAGATGTGAATTTATAAAAGGTTTGGAATTGTGGGTGACACAAAGTGAAGGTTAGGGTAAAGTTCGCAAAAAAAAAACCTCAAAAGTTTGGTACCGCTGCTGCAATTATCCCTAAATTGAATTTATTCTTTTGGGTCATGAAATTTGGTTTGGGCTTAAATAGGTGGGCTATAATGAATTTTGGACATGGGCTACTTACTAAGTGCTTGTTTGGGAGGGATNTCTACAAAAGTAATTAGTAGCTTGTTTGGGAGTGATTTTTGGGGGAAGAATTGATTTTGAACGGTCTATATGATGGGAAATGTGTGGTTGAAAAAGAAGGAAAAATTATTGATGTGATGAAAATATTATTTTATTGAAGAATGTGTGGTTGAAAATGAGAATTAATTTACTGTAAAATTTTGAGAATTCCTCCCAAACAGGGTCTAAATGACATGGACTCAATTTCAGAGTTAATGGATCTGGGCTAGGGTGAACACGAGCTATAGTCTGAGCTAGCTAGTGCCTAGATCCGCCCATGCATACATGTTGCAAGATTCGACAAAATTAATGCGTTCTGTTTTATTGTGTAAATGTGTGGTTGAAAATGGGTATGTAGAAAAAAGAGTTTTCAAATAATAGTTGTCCAACATGAGCTTAGTTATTTGTCGATATAATCTATTGGATGCATTCATAATTTTGAAATTTGACGCTAATCATTTGATTGTGCCTCGCACTTGTTTGATTGTCAAAACTTTTTTAATTTCATTTTTTAATGTCAAAAAGGTCGAAATTCTATAAGAATTCTAGAAACACGACTTTTATTTCTAAATCATAACTATAAAATCTTGATATGTGAAAATTTCGAGAGAAAACCCCCAACCTCAAGACATCTCAACTTTTTCACTTCTTACATTTTGGTCCAGAAAACGCATTAAAAAAAAAATAAAAAATCCTAAAATGATGTCCAAATCGATTTCTCTAGTAACCAATGGTCCTATGTTTCTTTAATTTTACTAGATTTATTATTTCCCCAGCATAAATTCTCTTTAGTCCCTGAAAACTGAAAAAAATAGTAAATTGGCCCAAAACTTCCTAATGTCAGAAATAAACCAATATCATAGTAATATTGGTTGTGCTACATGTATATCATCAACGATATCGAATATGACTAATTACAAAGAGATGTAAATTTTTCAAATGATACTAAGCCTCTGTTTGTTTTAGATAAAAATTAGATTTTAGTATATTTTGATAGAATTTATGGGATTTGTTGTTGAAAAGTTGTTAGGCCCATGAAATGTGTTAAAATTAATTGCTGATTTTAAATTAAATTTTTATCAACTTTTGTAACTGAACCAAACATGGACTAAGAGAGATGAATTGAGTACAGCTCTCTGTGTAATTAGTGCTAGCTTGCTCAACTATGCACATACCCTTTTGTTGTGAATGTGTTGGGTAGGTACTAAAGTTGTCCAAGATTATGTTATAAGAATAGCCTAAGAAATTTTCTATTTTTGGATTTTTAACTTTTTAAAATAAGTCGCGAGTTAAAATGGTAACAAATTGATGTAGAGCAATGGTTATGGCCAAGTATTTGGTTAGGTCGATTTTAAAAATGTTATAATAAATTAATGTAATTACGTGGAATGTATAGATATATTAATATTATTTTTTAACTCGATTGTATTTCAAAAAGGTGGAAGCTTTAATAATGCATTCACACTAATTAATGTGGGAAACGACATTAAGCCCCCGTTTGTTTGCCATTTAAAAAAAAAAATGTAACCGTTGGGAGTGGGATTTATCCCCTGTATAGTGTACATTTTGGGAGTAAGAATACATTTTTACTGTTGACGTGATGGAGAATATGTGGTTGAAGAAGAAAAAGTTATTGATGTGATGAAAAATATTATTTTATTGATGAATGTGTGGTTAAAAATGAGAATGAATGAGAATGAAAAAAATAATGTGACTCAAATAAAGACTTAGCCACCATTTTTGACCAATGTCTCTCATGGTGAGACCCACAACTTTAAAAAAAGGGTCAAAAAAACTCATTTTGGTGTAAAAATAATGTCAAACAAACATGGGCTAAAGTAAGGAATCTGTGGGGGACAATATATCAACATGACATAATTAATGTCTATTAAATAATTCATCCATAGTACCATCTCCTGATATGACAAGATTTGGATGTCTAGTGCTTACACAAGTAAATGCTTATATCATAAATGAAAATGGAAAGAAGAAATTACACATGTAAATGCTTAGCATAAATGAAAATGGAAAGAAGAAATTACACATGGAAAGAAGAAAATGGAAAGAAGAAAAAATAATAATTTATAATAAGAATCACTTAAAAGTAATAGATGATTACTTGACTAGTGTCAATTAAACAATAATACAAACTTGTAAAATAATGAGATACAATTTGGGTAGGAGTGAAACAGATCAAAAAAGTAAATCAAGATAAGTTACTGCTGTGAAGGAATAAATTCTACATTGTATGTTTAATTGGTTTTATTTTTCTTAAAAAATGTATTTTTTTTTTAAATTCAAATTCTTACTTTTGGGGTGTTTGATTGACTATTTTTTCGTAGAAATTTTTTTCCAATTTTTGGTTAGATGACCGTATTTTCATCAAAATCAAATAAAATATTTTCTTTAAAAATGATCGATTTTTATTTTCCAGATAATTCACTATCTCATCTATTCACCAATAAAAAATGGATAAACACAATATTTTCTAGATTGAAAACTAAATCAATCAAATACATTTATTTAATAATTTCTATACAAATAAGTTCTAGATAATTAAATTACCTAAAATTTATTTTCTTTCCATGCAAATTACATACTTGCAATCAAACGCATCCTAATAAATTGAAAAATATTAACCAATATATAAGGGTTTGATTACTTATCTTAATAAGATTAATGTAATTATGAATGTTGATAATTGCACGTAAATTAGGAATACCTATAGCTCACTCTTTCTCAATAATTAAATACAATTAGGGTATAACGAAACATTTAGGCTCAACCATTAATACTTAGTGTTGACAAAAAAAATTCAACTGACTCAAACCCCACGAGCCTTGACCTGTACGAGGTAAGAATTGCTCGCTCCGTCAGTTGGTGGGTCAAGTTCGAGGGTGAGGTACTAGAGACTAATTGATCACATAACGAAAATCCAATATGCTGGAGATGGTTGGATATTCAAGCTCCGGTTATGCTCAGTGCCTGGACAGAAGGTGCCCTGGCCCTAAGGATGTCAATTTGACTCGTTGGCTCGGATGGCTCGTGACTTCACTCGTAAAAATGCTCGAACCTGCTAGGCTCGCGACTCGAAGGAACTAAGGCAAGGCTCATGCCTAGCTTTTTTTTTTTTCCAATGACGACTCGAGTTGGAGATTAAAAAAAAAAAAAAGTTGGCTCGATTTGATAAGGCACGAGGTATATGAGTGTCCCGCCCACCTTAAGCAGGACACAGTAGCAAAAAATCCTCGATGGACGAGGCATGAAGGGTTGTTCTCCCATTGCCATCCCCTAAGAAAATTTAAATAGGTATTCACATTAAGTACTATCACTACCGCAAAACCAATAGGTTGGTGATCACTCCAGCCAAAAATATAGATTGGGGACCAAGTTGCAATACCGTTCGTAGGTTTGGGAATGAGGAATAAAAATTGGATATGAGTGAAGCAGTTAGGCCTCAGGCCCTCGACTATATAATGAGTTTAACTGTTTAAAAACTGAGTATTCGTAACTTGTAAGTGCATATTGTCAAAGAAATGGGGCTAACTGGCAAGTTGATTGCCCAAATAGAGTTAAAGCTTGGAGGAGATGTACTTCATGAACTCTTTAAACACAAACCACACCACATATCCAACAAAATACCTGATTTAGAACAAGGTTGTTATCTCCATGAAGGGGAATTTGGAAAGGTTGGCTCAAAAATCTGCTGGACATACACTCATGGTATGTAAAACTCTATCTAACAGAAAGTAATTCAATTAATTATCGATGTGCAAGTGATGTAATTAATCTGTGTGAATGACAAATGGAAAGGTAAAGAAAACATATTAACTGATATGTTATGTTTATCGTCAAATTTATTGAAAGATTTAAAGTAAATAGATCTTTAACAATTACAACATGACATGTTTGTCTTAGTTGATCCCTCTTTTGATTTGGCTTATTGACGTCGTGTAAATTTGGCTTATTGACGTCGTGTAACTCTTAACTATATTTAGCTCTATCAATTATGAGTTTACAATCGATGTGGGAATGGCAGGTGAGGAAAGCAAAAGTGTGGATTGAAGCCATAGATGAGGAAAATAAATTAATCAAATTTAAGCCGCTTGAAGGAGATTTGATGGAAGAGTACAAGGACTGCATTGTAACTATGCATGTAGGTCACATGGACTTTGGAGTATGAGATGCCGAATGAAGATATTTCACATCCAATTTCTTTTCTGGCGGTATTGAGACTAATAATTGAGTTGTAAGCTTTCCTATTGTATAATCAAATAAAATGTGTGCACGCGTGCGTGCTTGCACACGTGTAGGTATGTCTGCATTGATTAATAAAGGTCGTGTTTAAAGGTTTGTGTTAAAGTTAATTTTGTATTTTCCTATCCGTAAGAAGATATTATGTCATATTCAATACTTCTAGCTGGCATGTATGCACTGTGTACATTAATTTTGAAACGATAAGTTGCGTTTTTGAGATAGTCTATTAGTGAAGAAGTTGATCTCACCAATTAATAGCTCATGTTTCAGATAATTGAGCTATAAAATTGCGTATTTGATTTTTTTTATAAAATGATCGAGATTGAAAACTTGAGACGTTGAGAACAAAATGTAGATACTTCATGTCTATGCACCATTCAAAATTTTAAATAATATTTACTAAATATACAATAATCTTTTTAACATCAATGCACATCGTCCCTTCTTAGTAAATTATAAGACGCCAAAGTATAATGCGTCAATGTGTCAAAAATATATTGTTTTCTTTCATTTACTGAGAAGATATGATATGTTGAAGTGTTAAAAATATACTATGAGAGATAGTTCATGATAACATATTTGAGCTCAACGTGGGAGAATGATGAATTCAAATCATAGAATTAATCATTTTGACATGTCAATGAGTGCAATTGTTGCACAAAGGTCCTTTACATTAGAGTTGATTAAAGAACTTTGATGTTCAAAGCTAGTGTAGAAAATTTCAAATTTGATCGTAGTTTTTGAAAAAAAAAATATTATTTTCATTTTCATTTATTCGTCGAAAGTACGTAATTGGGTTAATTTTGCACCCACTTATACTAACAATTTCATTCACTTAACTCCCATAGCGTTCTGAATTCATTTATGTTCGAAAGTGTTTTTAACAAATTTTATTTTATTTTTTCGAAAATTGTTGTGAACAAATTTTGATAAACGATATGAAATTGAACTTCAAGTAATTTAACTATCGTAAATTCTGAGGATTTAGTGAAAAAATGGGCTTGATATTCTCTTTTGGCACGACGTACAATTAGAGGATTGTTAAATGAGGCGAGTCGAGCCGTGCCGTGCGCAACCGGACTCCTAACAAAATTGCAGTTCTCCGTATTTTTTCAATTTTTTTTTACTGAAATTGTAAATTTTTCTAAATTTGGCGAGTCGGACTCGTAAGACAACTAGTTGCTCCAATTGCAAAATCGATGTTCGGCTTGCGCTCACCCTAGAACTCGAGTCGAATCAAATCGGCTCGCCTCATTAACTCATTTTCCTTGACGTGCAGCTACCTAACTCAAACACACGTCAAAGTACAAAAATACCCTCCATTCATTATCGTCCACGTGGCAACTCTATCCTCTTCTCTTATTTGCACGTTGTCCTGTATAGTGACGCAGTGAACAGGGTGTACAACTCTTCAAAGCCCTACCTGTGTAGTGTGTCGTTTCTCGCTTTTCACGAAGCACACTCTGTGTGTGTGGATTTTGTCTAGATTTGATAGATGACAATTGAGATTGGATCAAGTTTGATTTTGAATTTGAAGCTCTAATGGAAAGGATCGTCGGAGGTAAATTCAAGCTCGGCCGTAAAATCGGTAGTGGATCGTTTGGTGAAATCTTTCTAGGTAAGCTATCATAATTGTATATTTGTATACAGTTATATGTATATGTATTATTTATTTGTTGATTTTTGGTTTTATTGTTAAATTGAGCTGAATTTATTTGTTTGATTGTGCCTTTAATGTGATTTTTTTTTTCTTTTTTGTTTGCAGCCACACATATTGATTCATTTGAGATCGTTGCTGTCAAGATCGTAAGTTTTGTGTAAAAATTATAATTTTTGCATGCAGCTAAGTGGTCAATCATGAGTATTTTTTTTGTTTAGTTAAGTGAAAATTCATATATAGAATCTGATAGTTTGATGTATTGAGCATGTTATTTCCACGCATATATGTAATAAATGTGCAAGAGCAGGATAAAAAAATTTGACCGATGACGTGGCAAGAGAACCTTACTGGTTCTCTTCGTTGATGAGTAGAAAGTTTAGGTTCTGAAGTTGATGATTAGAAAGTTTAGGAGTATGTTTCCAATGTTAGCCCTTAGGACATGTTTGTTTTCTTCACAATAGTTTGAACCAAGGTGGAACCTTAAATTGCTCTATGGAAGCTACAAGCATTGCTTAAATGATTTATATGAATCTATTAGCGTTTGCTGATAAATTGACATTTTCTTTATCTTCATTTGCAGGAAAATAATAAAACAAAGCATCCACAACTTTTTTATGAGGCCAAGTTATACAATATTCTTCAAGGAGGAAGTACGTAGTTGTAGAAAACCACAAGCGATTTGAACTGCTCAAGTCTTATATTTTATATATGAATGAGTATCCCCATTAACATGATTGAATGAGCGCAAATATCTGCCACAACCATCATGTCACACTGTCTTCATATGATGTAGTATAGATAACTACGTCGAATGCATTTAATACATATCATCGAAGAAGACGTACTGATGTTTGTAAAGCACAAGTCAGACTTCTACATTTCTCAAGCACTCTTAAAATTGTATGACACTTTTAGACGGTGTTCAAGAATAAAAGATAAAAAGTAAAAATTCGAGACTTGAACAGTGTGGAACACTACTACCAGACAATTTTATGATCAAGGTTAAAAGGTAAATATGTTTCTCGCAATATAATAGGAACGTTCTGTAGTTGCAATACTCTTGGCATAATCAGTTGATAGATAGTTAAAATTACATTGTAATATTATGATAAAAGATTATAAAAATTGTATTTTCTGATATATTTTAGCTACATATGCACAAGCTTTAATTTGGATGAAATTATAAGATCAATTATATCTCACCAAGTAACCTGACCATGGAAAAGGACATTGGAAATATTAGTTGGTTGAATTTTTTTTTCCTTTTTCTTTTTAATTATTATGTCTTTGATTGTTTTCCTTTATTTATTCATTCATTTGTTGTAGGTGGTATACCTGGTACAAAATGGTCTGGTGTGGATGGGGATGACAATGTTCTTATCCTTGATTTGTTGGGGCCAAGCCTTGAGGACCTATTTGTGTACTGTGGTAGAAAGTTCTCGTTGAAGACTGTCTTAATGTTGGCCGATCAAATGGTGAGAATTAGTTCAGAAAACACATGCTCCTGAAATCTTGGACTATATTTTTCTGTTTCCTGTTTGTCATAAACTCTTGTTTTAGTTCTGCACTCCAAGTTGCTTTTTCATGGGTCTATACATAATTTTAAACCTAGGATTTGTTTTATACAGATAACAAGGATTGAATATGTGCATTCTAAAGGGTTTTTGCATCGGGATATTAAGCCTGATAATTTTCTTATGGGTCTTGGCCGAAAAGCAAATCAGGTGATCATAACTACAGCACATTGTTCTTTATTGTTTGTTTGGAATGAGCTCCTAATCTATTTTGTTCCAATTCTTTTCTCCAGTAATTATTGTTATCATTATTTTTTATCCTTCACTATTTGTTGGCCATAATTCTCATTCAAGTATCACTCTCTTTAGGTTTACATTATTGATTTTGGTCTAGCTAAAAGATATCGAGACTCCACAACAAACCGGCACATCCCTTACAGGTGTACTTTCTCTCTGGATGTGCTACTGAGGCATTTTGGAATATGAATGACTTCTCCTTATCTGATTTCCTTTTTCTTTTTACCAATTTGATCAATCAAAATTTTGTTTTGCAGATACAAAAGTGTTCTGAACCTTATCTTATTTGGTTAGGAATCATTTTCTTTTCACACTTATTTTGGGAAAAAACTAAGATGTGACTCTTTTTAATGGCTACCACTTAAATGATGATGTGATTTGGTTTATAGTTGTATATGAGATCATTTTCAACAACAATGATATAATGATCAGTATACATTGCTTTATTTTTTATCCTGCAGGGAGAACAAAAATTTAACAGGGACTGCACGCTATGCAAGTTGTAATACTCATCTTGGAATTGGTGAGTTGATAGGCTTTTTTTCTGGTCTTTCTTTTATGATAGTACTCCTATCCCTACTTCTTTTTTTAATAGACCAGGAGAAGAGGTAGATAAATTATAGGTTATCACATGATACGTGGATCACATTTTCTTTGTTTTGTAGAACAAAGCAGGCGTGATGACCTTGAATCCCTTGGATACGTTCTTTTGTATTTCTTGAGAGGAAGGTGTGCCAATTCTTCCACATTTATTATGTTCTATTCTAATTTTCTTTTTGCAAAATGTTGTTATACATTGGTTTCTTTTAACCAATCACTAGTCTGTATATAGCCTTCCATGGCAGGGTTTGAAAGCTGCTACAAAAAAGCAAAAGTATGACAAGATATGTGAGAAAAAATTATCAACTCCTATTGAGGTAGGTACATGTATCAATTTTGTCTTTACTATTATCTGATTCTTTTATAGACCTTTTTTTTTTATGTACTTTATTTTTCTTTGTAAGGTGTTATGCAAGTTCCATCCCGTGGAATTTGCCTCATACTTTCATTACTGCCATTCGTTGACATTTGATCAACGTCCTGATTATGGATTCTTGAAACGCCTCTT